TTCTGCACAGTGCTCATTTAAACGTCTAGAGATGTCTTGAGGGATGACAGGAAATCAATGAAATCTACAAACGTAGGCACATACAAGATGCTCCAAGCCAAGACAGACTTGTATATTGTGCTAGCTTGCTGCACAGTTAAAGGTTAACTGATTGTGGTTTTAAAATAGAAGAACACAGGATACTTGGAAAACAAAACAATATCTTTGCCTCTTCTCACTTTTATATTTAACTTCTGCTAACTTTTTTTCACCGTGACTGAACAGGCATGGATGGGGTAATCGGGCATTTGCCCAGTAAGCCTATTGGTCATGTGAAGGGACTGTTGATTCTCTCTCCATTTCTTTCCTTGTGTGACTTCATGTTAATTTAAAACCATATATTTCTGTAGTAGCTCGGATTTTTTTCTTTTTTTGGGGGGTGGGGTTGGAAAAGTAGGCACTAAAATACACACACACACACACACACACACACGGCAAAAAAAATCAATGTTACCATGATGTAAACTTAAAAGCAATAATAGTCAAAGATGAAAAAAGCTACACTTGAAACATTTTCTTTTTCTGTGTTGGTTTAAATGTATATATTTAAGCTTGTTAAATGTATGCCACAAGATATGCGCTTCGGCAGTTAACTTCGCTGTGAACTTGAACTTTCATATTCTGATTTCTGAACATTTAAACCTGTAGCTTTGATATTACAATTTACCTTTGAATGAAATTTAAGAAAAATTATAGATGTAGGCATGTACTGATGAAGAGTTTAAAATTCCAGATAGTTACTGGGGTTGGCCAAAAACTGGGCATGTCCACAATTACATCAGTTTAATCAAGTATTTTTGCCTCTATAATTCTCCTCCCTCTTCTGATATTTCAGAAGTTTTTTTTTCTATTGGTTCTCAAAAAATGTTTTGGATTATGAAAACACTCCACAAAGATCTTGTAATTTCATTAATCCAGTATGTTGGCTGTCTTAAAGCATAGACCAACTTTACACCTCTAGTATGTATAGGTTTATTATGGTACAATTAATTATTTTCCTGTTCCTGCAGTGTAATCTTGAAGTGAGTTGAACCAGCCCAAGTAAGATAAATAATGACCTTTGTTTGCGTGGCTGACTTAACTAGTGTACTTTGGATTACTTGTATCCTTCATGTTTGGAACTATAATTTCACAGTTCTTTAGGCAGAACTGAAATGGGTTCTGTAGTGACTTACCATGGATCTTCATTGGTGCCAGAGGTCCCTGGGTGCTTTAGATTTCCTCTGACATCTTTCACTGAGCCTTTCCCACTCTGTACCCAAACCTCACCCCAGAAAGTGAAAAGCCATGAAGAAAACAAAACTCAAACCAGCTTTGTGCTCAGTCAACTAGCTGCCATAAGTGGTCATTTAAATCATTAGAAGAGGTGGGTGAACTCTCCTGATCTGCACTGGGAACAGTCAGTTGGATTCAGGTAATTTTTACAGGGCAATGTTAATGAGCTCACTGACCTGTTTCTACTTAGCCATTAAAAATAGCAGACCCTTCCTCCCAACTCCCTCTAGCTCAAGACCTCCATGGTATGAAGCATTAAAAGAGCACAACAGTGATCTTAATAGGAGAATCTCTTTTGATGGCTCAGTGTAAAGAGGAAGAAGTCTATCAAGAGCCACTCAAAGCTGTGACATGTTTAAAGGGTTAAGTTGATTGGTCAAGTTCTCAGACTCAAGTTCTCAGAACTGACACCTTCTTTCTTCATCTCAGCCAAGATTGCTCCTGGCCGCTGGAAAACTGTGATCACAGGGAACGGAGTCTCTAGAGGATTTTTTAGACTAGAAGATAAAGAGCTCTTTAAAAGGGGCTTCAAATCTTCCCCATTACAACGGTAATATTCATAATATCAGCACGTAGAGCCCTCTCAGTCACCCTACTCCATGTTTCATCCAAGAGACTCTTCAAGAGTATAGACAGGAATTCTAAGCAGCTCAGATCCATTAAATTAACTCTGGCTTTCCTGTACAAGAACCTGTGAAATGCTATTTTCTGGTGTGGATCCCTATTCTGCAACAACCTAGCCTGCCAACAATATGTATCAGCATTCCGGGACATGCCTCCAGAAACAATCCATTCGTTCCCTCTTGATGTTAAACTATTTGGTTGCATCACCCAAAAAAGCATGCGAACAACTGACTAAAATCATCCCTAACCAGTCTCGTCCAGGAGCACAAAGTGACTTCAAATATTTTGTCACAATTGCAACTTCCAGTAGTATGAGAATCGCCAATTGCTTCACTCTGCTAGGACCAGAAAAGTCTTACGAAACACCAGTCAGAGAGGCAACCCTTGAATAAGTTGCTCTTCTGGACACAAGTCATGTCAGTTCATGAACTGGGGTCCCTCTTAGAAGAAGACTGAAGAAGTATTTTACTTCAGGTAGGTTTCCTACAGAAGTCTAAGAGCCCCCCAATCTCAGGAACCCAAGAAGTGACAGTGTTGGACAGCATAGTGAACTTACGTTGCTTTTCTAATTCCAGAGTCAACTTTTCTACCTTAAGGGCCTGATCCTGTGAGGTGCTGCGTATGACTCACTAAAGTCAGTGGGAACTGAAGGGTGTTCAGCACCTCACAAGAAGCACTCCGTAACTCTCAAAAAGTATGATTTAAGGTTGCAGACACCACCACAGTTTCCAGTTTCATTCTGAAGCTGTATTGAAAACTTTGCCTGTCAAACGTACTCTAAACCAAGGAGTACTGTAGTGTTTAGGTTATATGTATCTATTCAATAATACGATAACAGAATGCTCCTATTAGGAACATAGATGACACCATAGAGCTATGCTATACCTGTAAATTACAGGACCAAGCTCAAAATTACAGGATTTTCCTCATAAAATAATCTCTGTAATTTTCCCCTTCCATTGAAACTGTACCTCTCTACTAATAGCAAGAACTCAAATAAACAAAGGGAGTGGACTGTCTCTCCTAACTTGCTCTTGCCAAAGGATTCCCGATTCAGTTGTGCTGCTATGTGTTGTTATTCCTGGTATAGTATCTCCGTGAAAGCTATTCCCCTTTGGGGGTAAGACTAGGATTACCACCTGTCTTGTATATTTTATTTTTCTAGTATTTTTTTAATATTAGTATTAAAATTCTAGCTACTCAAAAGTGTTTTAAATAGTGGAGATTGTGCTTTTGCTGAGAGAAATGGGGAATCAGAGGCTTAATACACATGTATTACTATGTGTAGTTACCTTTGAAATCAGCTGCTGGATAGAATGTGAAGTTCAAAGTTTCCAGTTGTCACAGCCCATAATGTTTGTACAGTATTGGATGGATATAGTATGCAGGGGAAACAGAAATGAAAAAATAATCCAAGGAGTGGAGGATAATACCTAGGGAGACTGAAAGCACTATAGTTTCACCAGGAAAAAGAACATTCAGGGGAGAACATGAGCAGTTTATAAATACATTCAAGTTAATATAAATGATGACAGGGATTGATTCCATTTCAGAAGGTAGGACATGAAACTAGAAACTGAGAAATTGAGGCTAAATAGTAATAACTTTTGTACATTGAGATTGGATAATAGAACTGACTACCCAGAGTGAGGCACCATCACTGCATATAGTCAAAATGATGTGAGAAAAGCCAGGAACAGTAGAGAGCCTATGTGCAAAGGGTCAGATTGTATGACACAAGTGATATTTTCTGTTCCCACTATCTGACACTGTGAATTAGACATAGCCTGTTCTGATTATTTAACAATAAACATACACTTGGACATCTTTGCATTTCCCATAGAGGTCCTTTATTAGTAATGTAGTTTCAGAGGTATGGAGTTAAGGAGTATGGTGTAAAACTTACTGAGGATCTAACAATTTTCAGTTCCTCTTCACTTTTAGCAAGAAAGTGCTTTTTGTCCTAAAAATAAATAAATAAATACATAAATAAAACAAAACAAAACCCTCAAGGAATCAAAACCAGCAAAACTGTTTAAATGGTCTGTAATGGTATTTTTGCTAGTGCACTGGGCTGAGAAGCATTTCAACAGTTGGATCAACTGAAAAATATTTTTGCTAGTGTACTTCATCATGTACCTGTTGCAAAATCATTTAACTGTCTCCAAGTGTACTATGATTTGAAATAGGCTTTCTGAGATCAGAAGAGATTTTTCATCAATGTGTTTAATAGAAATAGTACATGTTCTTAACGTTTTGAATGAATGAGACTAGCTCCAGAGTTAGGTTTTGAGATAAGACATCTATAGGAAGGAGATGTTTGCTAGGGAGTTGATAAACAATGCACATTTCACAACTTTGGGTGTTTTTTAAATCATGATAGAGTTCATGGAAAGGCGATATTTTAAAATACTGCACTTACACAGTAGATAGAGTTACCTGAAATAGCGCAACAATTTTTATGCTTCTAAATAAATACCAAAATGATCTATTCAATATTATGGACTAGTGGTGTGAAAAATCAATTTAAAACAAAAAGCCTGAGTTATTTGAGTTACGTACGTTTATTAAAGCATCCTGAGCTTTCTTTTCTTTTCATTTCTTTTTATGGTATACATACAACCTTTCTGTTTTGTTTTTTTTCCACTTTGTATTTCAGGGGAAAAGACTGGAGATCTTCAAGTTATGTTTCAAACAGGAGTTAATGTTCACAGCCTGTTTATAACTGTGGAAGCTCGTTTATAATAGAAGTGCTGAGGCTGTACAAACAATGCCACTTGAATGTACTGAAATCTGATCAAATGTTTTAGAGTATGCCCATTGTACAATATCAGTCTGTACATTCAAGGATCCTATAGTGCATACATTCAACCTCTATTAGTTTCTTTCTGTATGTGCTTATGCCACATTGGTATTGTCCTAAAATAAGGAATCCTGAAATTGTTGTTATGGTTGACATTATTTGTTGATGTCTTGGTAGAATTTTTCTGCTAGAAACAAATTAAAGTTTGTCCTTACAATATAAATAATTCAGCCACTTGTTTGTTTTTTTCCTATTGTAGGTATGTGTTCTTTTTGGATCCATGCAACGTAGACCTGGTACATCGGAAGATCAAATCCATTGCCCTGTGTGTAGCAGCTTGCCCAAGGAAAGAGCTAAAAACTTTGGCTGATGTTCAGAAATTTGCGGAATCTAATGGTATGAGGAAAGCACATCCATTTTTTCCTCTGGAGCCAAATATGTTTGTTTAGTATTCATAGATATAAGACAGATAAAGATGCCTCAGACTTAGCAGAACTAAAAATGAATTGACAAAACATGATGGGAAATACCAAGGGGAATAGTCTCTAGTATTTTTATAAAACTAAAACCTAATGGTAGCCATTTGTCCTGCCCTGTTATCTACATGAATCTCCTTTTTAAAGTTCATTTTCTTGAAGAAGAAAAAAAGGCAAGACCTAACAGGAACTTGACCAAAGCGGTTTTACATTTTATGGACCTGTGCCCCTGCATTCTGGAAGCTCCCTCAAGCTACTGCTCCAGGTAGCCTTCCTACACTGCTGAGTCATTCTAGCAAGAATTGGATTGGTGAGATCAGTACTGCTATTGAACTGCACTGGAGCATGGTGTCTGCCAATGAGTGGGTGGTAATCCTGTTTTCATTCAGTACTGCAATGCAATTCCCTATTTTTCAACATTCTTATTGTATTTTGTGTGAGGTAAGCATAAGGGAAACTATACGGTTGAACGAAACGGACTCAATTCCTCTCCTCCCCCCCCCCCCCCCGAGAACTGTTCTGCTTTGTTATCCATGGTGATATCAATATGACCACCTTAAGGCATGCTGGAATAATTATAACAGAGTTAAGTGGAAGTGTAGACAAGCCCTCAGATAGGTGACCAACTTTGGGACTTTGAAAGGTGAGGAAGCCAAATGTAAATATTTGGCAAAAATCCCTTCAAATTGTTCTGTCATTCAGCTGTCATTACTATGGTTAGTGGGTTTTTTCCTTAGACCTTGGCACTTGATCTTTTTGCACCTCATGGCAAAACACTTCTGCTCATTAGCTGATAGTGACAGTGTTACTGTTTTGAGCACAGAGCAGAGAATTGTTTGCCTGGGGCCCCATTTGGTGAAGGCAAGGAGGTGCTGACTTCCGTTAACTCTTCAGTTTCAAGTATCCGAGAGTGGCTTTAGTTTGGTTACCTCTCATTTTTGTCTTATCTGATGTACAGTGGCCTTCTAGTGCAACTAAACTGAAGAATTCAGTAGGAGAATTTCTTCATCAGAGCCTCTTGAAATATTTAAACGTGGCCACTTAAGCCTAGTGTCTTTCTCTTGTCTTGACTAGTGTTGTTTTTCTGTGTAAGTCTAACTTGTGCTGGGAAATCAAAATTCCCTTATTATCCTGTGATAACTATAGTATATTTGGCATGACTGTCTTTGTCGAACTGAACCAAAGGCTACGCGCTTTGCTAAAATTTACTGCATCTTGTGCTAAAGGTGATCCAGGCTAACCAAAATTCCTTGGCACTTGCTGTATAAAAAACAAGAGCTTGTGAAATGTTTTAAAATTGGTATTAAATGGAGTTGCCTTGGTTCTTGTAAACTTAGACCAGGGTATCTGAAGTCTAGCACTTATTGCAGGGAAGTGTCAGCCAAAAGTACTCAAGGGCTCTGATCCCTGTTTTCTAATCCATATTCGCTCAGTGTGACCATGGGCCAGTCATTTTAGGTCTGAGGTAAACTAATTATAATGTTAATAATGCAGAATTTCAAAATAAAGTAGATGCTGAATCTAAACTGAGTTTTCATGTTGTAACTAAATTAGCCAAAAAAAAAAAAAAAAAGTATGTAACCAGAGTACAAGATCACTGATGAACACTATGCAAGATTGTGAGAATATAGTTATGGCTTAGAAATCGTGTCATCCCCTGCTGGTACTTCTGTTTAAAACTACACCTCTACCCCGATATAACGCTGTCCTCAGGAGCCAAAAAATCTTATTGCGTTATAGGTGAAACCGCGTTATATCGAACTTGCTTTGATCCGCCGGCGTGCGCAGCCCCACCCCCCCGGATCGCTGCTTTACTGCGTTCTATCCGAATTCGTGTTATATCGGGATAGAGGTGTATATCAACTGTTTAGGATCGAAAGCTTGATTCAGTTAAACTTGTATTTGCTGGAAGTTTACTGCCTGCATTCTAAATGTTATGATAGTGCTGGTTACAGCTCCGTAGTTAAGAAAAAGGTTGAATCTGCTTTAACCCAGACTCAACTCAACCTTAAGTATGAAGAATAGCGTGTCCATGCCAAAATTATGGCATCCACTGAATACAGGATATTTTTGAGAATTTGAAAGTAAATCCATTAACTAACCTGGGTTTAAATTAATTCGGAATGGAGCCTTTAAGAAATTTAGTGTTTGCTTGGTGTCAGACCTTGTAATGTCTCAGATGATCTTCATAATGGAATAACACATTCTTCAAACTTTCTGCATTGTTTGCTCTCCATTGAAATCTTGTTCACAGGCTACATCTGAATAACTGGATTGTAATTAAGCTAAATTAATGACTGTTGTATTTAGTTAGGATTGTATAATATTCCCAGAAAAGAATTAGATTAAGGTTGGAGGAAGGTTGGAAATACTTATATGTACGTTAAGATAAGAAACATTACAGGGATATCATAACTATCCCAAAACCAACTCTCAATTTCTTGGGTTTATAACTTTTCAGGCTAGTGTGTTTGGATTTTAAATTTAATGTGTGAAAATGCAGTTAAAGGACCCAAACAACCTTAACTCTGCCCTGTAGTGACTCCATGCAATCATCGAACAGTTACCATGGATGCACATAGTGCTTGTTGGCCAGATTGAATTAAAATAACTTTTTAAGACAATTCAATTTTTTTCATTTTCTTTCTCATCGTGTCCCACTGCTCACAAAAAATGAGCATGTGCTATGAAATCTGGGGTCAAAATTTCTGAAAGTAGGAACCTAAAATTAGCCATATGCTTCTAAACAAGTGGTCTGATTTGTCAAAAGTGCTGAGTGTGTGGCATCTTAACCTTCGTGGGAACTGCTGGCTGTTCAGCACTTAAAATTAGGCCACTAATGACTAAATGTGGATTTAAGAGCCTAGAATTAGGCTTCTATTTTTAAACCTCTTGGCCTGGATCTCACTTGCAGAGGTCTGTAGCCAGGCCAATCCAGCAGAGGCCCAGGTGGATGCCACACCTGGGGCAGTTACTGAAATAAAAGACTAAAGGAAAAAAGTCTGCTGCAGAGGCTGACCCAAATTAAAATAGTAAAGGAAATCAAGCTGATTAGGTCAAATTCAGGCATCTTTTTGAGTTGAGGGTGAGGGTATCGCAGATTTGAGCACAAGCCAAGAGCTACCCCACACTGTTTGTATTACACCAGTAGGTTGAAAATTGAACTGAAATGAGAAGACACACTGAATTAGTCTTCCTATCCGAGTTGGGTTCAAAAGGCCTAATCTGCTGACTTTGTAGAGATTTCTTTGGGATGGGTATGAAAGTAAAATGCACATAGGTATTGTGAAGAAACGGGAAGCAGCTGTAGGTAGGGGAAACTATTGCCTCAGTGGTCTCTGGTCTGAGCAATAATGGCCTCTTCATCTGTATGCATAATAATCAAAGCACTGCTTTGAAGCAGATTTTGTATGTGTTGGAGATAATGTGGAGTGAACTGTATATTTTCTCCATATTTTTGTGGAAATGTGCAAAGGTTAGAAAATGTTGGTTTTCACTCCTGAAAACTGTTAAGGAAATCGCAGCCAAGGAATTATTATTGAAGCTCCTGGTTGTGCTGTTAGGTTTCCTAGTTAAAGGCATGTTGCCAAGGAGAAACGGATTTTACACCACTTGGTTTCTGCCAGACCTCATATAGCCTAAAGCCATTATTTGAATATAAGTACAATTTTGAATGGCTGTAATAGATACAACTGATGTTTTGGTTTGATTGTTTATGGTTGAGTAGTACTGCATGGAGGTCTTGGGGGCATTCCTCCACATTAGTCTAGAACTGTCTGCATCTGTCAGCACTGTCTGGTACACTTATATTGAAAACAGAAACAAGTCTTTAAAAAAAATCACAAAACATGTTTGCGTTCTGCTCCTGGGAGTGGGACTATAACCAGTGAACCTTTCTCCCAGGATTGTGCTTGCATCAATAACTCTGTATTGCAAATAAAGTAAGCTAAAAAGCCACACTCATTTTTAAGCTCCATTAGAAATCTGTGGGAGTGAGGGAGGTGTGGGAGGAGAGAGAATTGCTGTGTACCAAAGGGAAAGGAAATCAGTAATATTTGCTTTCAAGCTTCTATCTACTGATAAAGAATGGTGAACAGAAAAGACAAAAGGGCTCGGGCAGCATTCTTCCTTTTTTTAAATAAAGGATTGCAGCTGACCATAAAAATACATCTTTAAGGCTTCTCTGACTCACTGTAGGATAGATAAATATTTCTTAATCTCATTTTTGAATCCAGTTAGTTGCTGTGGCAACCATGATTGGATATCTCTGCTATTCCTCCTTTGCAGTCTTATAGATATTTATATATCTGGAGACATTTATAAAGATGTAAATAATGTCTCCTTCCTTGGAACTCTCTTGTAGGCTCTAGAGAATACTCCCTTCTTTAGTCTGAATCCCAGAACTATTTAATAGAGAGCTTTAATTTCTCCCTTCCTCTGATGCTTCCTCTTTACTGGCACCTACTATATGTTCCTGTGAGACAATTAGGAGTTCAAGAAACTCTGAATATCCAACTGCCTATTCTCCCTCCCTTAAATACACTTTTAAATGTTTCTGAAAGATGCCAAGTGGCAGTGCTGGAGAATGAAGTCCACTGTATCTGTAGAACATAGTAAGCAGTACAGTCTGTCTTATTCCACCTTGTCTGTTGCTTCAATCACTACCAGCTGGAACCACCTGTAGTGAGAAGATTGTTCAGTGGCTGTGCCTATTTGATAGTTAACCTCTTTACTGTTGCCAGTAAAGGGTATCATTTGTGATGGTGAGGTCTGTGATGTTCTCATGTGTGCACCATTCCTCAGTTCACATAGGCCCCTGAATTAATGTTAGGTGAGAACTCCTTTTGATTACCACTAACCTGGACCAGATTCAAACCAGTGACCTGGAAGTGAAAGTGTCTATCTTATTACTGGACTCCTCCCCCATCTGGCCCAGCACCTCTTGATCCCATGATGGAGCATTAAAACCTGTAGTTTCTCTTTCTAGAAGTAAGTGGAAAGTCAAACTGCTTTCCTGCCTCCTCTTAAAAACACACACACAAAAACAGAAATCTCTGGCATAGGAGGTCTAAATTATGTATGTTCTTAGCGCGTACATTCTTGGTAGATTTGTTCCCTGTAGCAGTTTAGCATTTGACTGAGTATTATTGCAAATTGTCAGGTCCAGCAGACACAGAATGAAGAAGAGCTGGTCAGTCTCAATGTGTTTCTTTTTCTGATGTCCTTAGCCTTTGTGCACTTGCAAGGGCTCAAGAAAGTCATCTTTGTGAGAACAGCCCTTGTGCTCGTTCCCCATAGGAATAATTTGTCTTAATCACATGAGGATCTTCTCCTTGTCCTACAAACCTGTCTCCTTTATACAGAGTGGTTGGCAGTGGAACATATCTTACCATGTGAAATAAGTGCTCATGCAAGTTTCTGATTTGGTGAATTCTGGGGCAAATTCCATAGCCACAATTTACTGCAGAACTATGCTCTAGTATCTGAGGTTTCATTTTTTTTTTTAAGTAATGTTACTAGCACTTGTATAGCTAGAGCAGGGAACTGATCCCATTTTTCTTAATTGGCTGCTGACTCTGAAACCTAATGCAATACAAATGGCATCCTGGTTAACTGTTTACTGCTGATCATTTTGGTAGACACATTGACTAGATTTAGCTGTGCACATAAATATGGGGCAAATGTGTGGATGTGGAAGGTGGTAGTTGTAAATAACTGCTGGGACGATCAAATGAATTAAACCCTGCCCAAAATTTACAAGCGCCTCCAGGCCTACCCATCCTGGGTACCAAAAGCCCAGGTTGCCACTATCCAACTGTTAATGCCTTCAGCTTCCCTCCACCAACCTGTACAGTGCAGACCTGTCAAGAATCTTCCATCTTGAGATTCACTCTTGCAGTTGCAAGATCTGTTGTGTTTCTGATGAGAGACAAACTACCCCACAAAATAGCCTGTACTCAAGGGAATGGGCACTGAGCTGCTCGTCCGGAGACAATCAGATGTATTCCACTTTGCCTTCTGACTTACTGTTCATATTTCTGCATACTTATAACCATTATTAACCAAGGTCTCATACACCTATCTTACAGGCAACTGTCATTCATTTGTTTTTCAGATGAGTGACTCAGAGGGCGCACAGTCTCACTTCAGAGAGAGCTAGGAATAGAATCCCACTCTCTAATATGACAGTATAAATCTTTTCCTCTTTCCCACACTACCTTTCAGAAGAACTGGGCCAAATTACCATGTTATGTAACTCAGGCTACCAGTGTGGTTCTGTCTCCCTCTAGAGAAGAAACCATATATGGAAGATCATGAATCAGCTATTTCCTCCATGCTCCTGGTTATGGCCCTTTACTATTTGAATTAGAATTAGAGACTTGGGGGTTTAGATCCAGAGATCCCAGATTCAGTTCTTGTGGACAATGCAAACAGGGATATCCTTACATTCCACTAGTCTGTCCAGACTACCACTAAACAATACTGTGTCCAGAGCCAGGAACAATGCAGAAATACTGATGTACAAATAAGTTTTGCAACACCTCTTTGAGGTAGGCAGGTGTATTATAGCCACTTTGCAGATAGGTAAACTGAGGCATAGTGCTTCATCATTACTCCTGGGGCAATTCTGGGCCTCTGCAAATGCTCAGAATTTATGTCCCGAGCAGATTTCTTTGCTTCCCTGCAGAAAAATGACTTTCTGACAGGAAAGCCAAGGGAAGCCACAAGAGCGGTCATGCGACCCTCCTTAGCAGTATGTTTCAAGTGCCCAGGGCAGGCACCAAAGAGGTAAATCACTGTGGGGCAAAGGGCAGGACTGGGGAAGACCCGGCTAGTGGCTCCTACCCTGAGCCGGACTCAGCTGCTAGTCCCGGCTGGGCTGGGGAGGACAGGACTTCCTCTTCCCCACACAGCATCTGAGGCTGAGTCAGACCCACCCCCAGATTTCTCTCCCTGGGGAAGTTCTGCAAACTCCCTTCTCCCCTCCACCCCCCTGCTTCCTGCACCCATCGCTCCTCAGCTGCAGGAGGAGGGATTCCCTGTACAGGGAGCTGCTCCCCCATCCACCCAACCTCTGTACATCCAGACCCTCCCACCGAGCCTCACTCCCCCGATGAGCCCCACTCCCCCAGCATCTGGACCCCCACTGAGACCCCCACACCAGACCCCCCTGCCAAGCTCTGTCGTCCCCCCCGCTCAGACCCCTCTCCCTGCTGAGCTCAACCATCTTCACATGGACCCCCCTGCAGAGTCCCATTACTGTTGCACCTAGAACCCCCCAACAAGCCCCTGTGCGTCCAGATCTCCCTACCCCTGTACTTGGATCCCCCACTGAGCCACCCACACCCAGATTGCCCCCCCTAGAAACTTCTTAACCCACACCTGGATCCCCCCACACTAAGCCCCTCCACACTTGGATCCTGCCTTGCTGAGCCTGCCTGCCCACACCTGGAATGGAGGGGCAGGGCCCTGAGGTGTTTCTGGGCCAGGCCCGGTCCTTGCACTGTATCAGGGTTTGGTGCAGTCTCACCGCTAAGTACATGTCCTGGGGGGAGCTGCACAGTGATCTCCCACCTCTGTGCAGCCAGTGGCCTGTGCTCCCCAGTGCCATGCTGGAGCCTCCACATTTATTTGACAAATAAAATTGGCAGAATTTTAAAATATTGTGCGCAGAATTTTTTATTTTTTTGGTGCAGAATGCCCTCCGGAGTAATTATCTAAATGGCAGGACTGGAACTAGAATTCAGAAGTCCTAATTCATGATTGCCTATTTCAGCCACCTGACTTTCTTTAATGATCTGCTAAATACAGAGATGTTCATCTCTTCCTGAAAAATCTAAACCATACAATTGAGGCTCTTGAGACTGCATGGGATACTTTGCACTGGTACTCCCAGGCTGTGCCCCTTCTCTGTACAAATAGAAGACTCCTTTCTGCAGGGGTAGTAAATGGGAGGAGATGCTGCTATGTGGTGCAGCACCATTAAGCCCAGATGATGCTGGCTCAGCAGTTTTAAAAACTGTTCTTAAGCATGGTTTGAACTTGATTGTAGCCAACCTGGTCTCCAGTATGGTTTAACTGGCCAGTGCGTGGAGAGGGATTCAGCTTTGTTAGAGCTGCCGAGCATCTATAGAATTTGACAATATAAACACAAGAGCACTTCTCTGTGCAGGTCTTCAGCTAACTCACTCTTTAACCTCAATAGTTCGTCCTCTCTTTGCTCTCTGTAAAGCACATGAATTGTAGTTTAAAAAGAAAACTGGATAATTTCTTTTCATCGTGGATAGGTTTGGCAGAATTTAATTTTTATTTTTGTATAATTTTGATGGATAATATTTGTTTGTATATAAGCAATTTTTTCCCAGTATTTAGCAATTTTAAATTTTCACAGTTGTGGGAAACTAGGGGAAGGGGGGGATCAGACAATAATTATTTACTGACAGTATGAGATTCAAAAGTGATAAAGCTTTCTAACCATTAAAACACAAATTGGCACCATCACGTCAAAATATACAAAGTAAATATTCTTAAATCAAGCTGTGTTCTCAAGCAGCATTTTCTCACTTTGCCTATCTGTAAGTTTTGACCGCTATCGATGGAAATGGTTTTTTTTTTCAATTTGTGGGTGTACAGTGAAATTAAGGCTTACCAATAAAAATCTATTCCTTCGATGCCTAATCATGGATGTTGTGTGTCTGCAATTTTGATGCATTAAGAATGATTAAGAAACAGTCGGGGGAGGGAACTATTTCAAGGAGTCTAGTGATTTGTGTCCTCCTTCCTTTAAAAGTGGACTGTGAATTTAGCCTTTCTCTCTTGGATGATCAAAGGTGGTAGGAGGATGACCCAACCATGGATGTAAGGGGCCCATCTAATACAACATACGATGGGCTTGATTCAACATTCCATTACAAAACATTTTCTCTAGTAGTCTCTTGTAACTCTGAAGTCAATGGAGTTTTAGTCATGTGAAACTAATGTAATGGAGTGGAGAATCAGGACTATTATTCATTTTAAGATGATTTGCTGGACTGGAACAGGAATATTAGATTTTTGATCTTGTAATATTGTTTTTCTTTCAACAGGATCAAATTTATGTAGCTATGAACTACAGTCATCTGAGTACACTACAAATTCACAGGCCTCTAAGCTTTGTCCTAAGCTCCCGGTTCCAGAGAGGTAAGTTTAACGGCTTCTTGTCTAATTGTTCATTTGTCTGAAAAAGATTTCATAAAAATCTCACATAGAATAGTTTAGGTCACTCTATAACATACCTGTGTTTGTTTTTAGCATGTTAACTCTGTTGGTACAAAGGTCATCTTTAAAGAGACTCTGTCAACATAACATTTAAAAACAAAAACAAAAAAAAAACCCTACTGTGTTACTAGCGCTATTAAAACTGGAATATTACAAATGCTATTTGATGTTATATACTCAGTGTTGTGCTATGTGCTGCAAATCAGTTTGTTTGCCACCCTGAAGACTGGCTGCATTTTAGTGGTGCTGTTTGTACACAACGTATGAAGGGCTTTGGAATGAAAGGTGGTATATGCATATAAAATATTACGTTTGTCATTTATGGTGTTTGCTTCTTGCACTTTGCTCAGCCAGTTAAACTCGGTGGGTCTGTTTCATTTGCTGGTTCTCTGGTTGCGTCTAAGTTTCCAGCACTGGGATGCTTAAATGGCAGAAAGAAGAAAAAAGACCCAAATACCTGAAGGCACTCCTATTCATGTATTACTACATTTTGTAAATAAATCACTCTGGTTTTAATGCTTAAAATTTCGACGAAGAGCTGCCTTGGCTGTTTTTGGTAAAGTCTATGGTAGTGATTGTAACAAAGAGGATGCTGCTGGCATTGGGAGCCCAGCTGTATGTTGGAAGATTAGAGTGCTGCCCAGAAGTACAGGGGCAGTCAGCACTTCAGCTATACAGCAAATTTTGAGTTGTTCAGCAATGCGATTATTTTAGGGCTCAGTCCTGCAAACACTTCTGTGAGTGGTCCCACTGTCTTTAACGAGAGTTCTACAGCGGTGTTTGTGGCTTTGGGCTTCTGTGTTTTAGCTGAAATTGAAGGGGCTTGACAATGCAAACAGTTGTGACCAGGCATAATTCTTACTTCATAAACAACCTCAGTCGGATTATATCTGTTCAGGGTCAGACCATACATTCTCTGCATGGACATGAGTGTTGGCAAAGGAAAAACAGAGAAAAGTCCTGGAGAGGATATGTTCTATCCATTTTAGGACCTGTAGTTTTAAATGTCTTTTGTTTACCTCGGTAACTTATCCAAGTTTAAATTGACTATGATAAGCAGCAACTCAAATGCTGACAATAACATACTTTCTCTGAATCTTTTTTTTTTTTTTTACTGCAGCTCTACAGCCTATGCAACAGACCTAGGCATAGATGCTGCGCTACCTAACTAAAATAAATAAAAATTCCAGTGTTGTTTTGCATCCTCAAATGGCTTGTCAGTTTTAATTTTTGCCAGAATTGTATGTACTTTTCTTCCTAAACAGTCCCATGTCATTCAATAATAAGCAAGCACGCAGATAGACTTTATAATACAGTGCAAATTCCTGGCAAAATTGCTTTTTAAAATAGTCAGAAGGAGCTGTTATGTCAGTGGAGGGTTTCTCCATTTTATTCTACAGTTATAAGTTAAAATAAAAAGAAAAATATTCATTAAATTTTAAAGTTTCCTAAAGTTTGATTTAAACCCCCAAAGAAAATGAAAGGAAATGCCCAATAGTTTGCCTTTAACTCACATAATTGTAAAAAGAACAGGAGTACTTGTGGCACCTTAGAGACTAACAAATTTATTAGAGCATAAGCTTTCGTGGGCTACAACCCACTTCTTCGGATGCATATAGAGTGAAACATATATTGAGGAGATATATATATACACACACATACAGAGAGCATGAACAGGTGGGAGTGGTCTTACCAACTCTGAGAGGCCAATTAAGTAAGAGAAAAAAAACTTTTGAAGTGATAATCAAGATGGCTCAGTACAGACAGTTTGATAAGAAGCAAGTGTGAAAATACTTACAAGGGGAGATAGATTCAATGTTTGAATTGAGCTTATGCTCTAATAAATTTGTTAGTCTCTAAGGTGCCACAAGTACTCCTGTTCTTTTTGCGGATACAGACTAACACGGCTGCTACTCTGAAACCTCACATAATTGTGTTTTAGATATTGTGCTAGTGCAGTTATTGGAGTGAACAAGCACATTTTGGAGAAGAAATGTAATGGTCTGAAGGATTGAAAAATAAAATAAACTGCAGGAAGAAGGATGTTGAGGAGGAAAACTCCCTGATGTTCCCTTCCTGGAAGCAGATCCTCCTCTGGTGTCAATTATATCACTCTATTTAAGTCAATGGAATAGCTCCGTTGAAGTCAGTGGAGCTATGGCAACTTAGGTCAGCTGAGAACTGTCCCCTGAAGTTTCCCAGTTGATCAATTCGGAGGTAGTGTGTTCCTCATGCCCTGCAGAGGAACCTAAAGATCTTGGGGGACTCTGACATTTCACCTTTGGCACTCTCTGTCCTCACTCACTTTGGCTTCCTCACAGCACTGCCAAAGATAACCACGCCCTCCAGCCGTGCCTCCTGGAACCTCTTCCCTGTGCTAGAGAGCAGTTTCATTGCATGAAGGTGGTTTTGGAGCAGGGAATCTAGCCAGTTTTCCCCTTTCCTTCCTGCCTCTACCTGTTCCAACTCTGCACAGTCCTGGCAGAGGAGCTTCCATTGAGACTGGAGAGAAAAGGAGAGCATACCACTGCAGCAGAATGCTCCGTTCTGTTGGCTCAGGCTCCCCTACATGAGTTGGCATATATCAGTTATGGGGACTCTAAATATCTCACATCCGCCCTTGTTTTGAGGCCCACCTGATAGAGAACTACTCTGTTCTTAACTCTGCATTCATTTCCTTGTCCATATCCAGTTAAACTGGGCCCTTAATATAATTTCAATGCAACTGTCATATTTGTGCTTTTTAAAATTTATTTATCATCATCCCCTACTAGGCGGATTCTGCTGATCTTGATCACGATGATTAAGCAGCAGATTATTCTTAGAAGCTTATAATTTCATTTACGTATGTAATGTACCAAGGTGTAATCAAGGGGCCTTATAAATAGCAGAGGTCACTATGACTAGATTTATTATTTCATTTTTTGTTAAACGAGACACATCACATCACATGCTCATTGAGTCAGAACCACTGAAACAGAAGCAGGTCTCATGCTGGATTCTCAAGAGTTTCATTTATTCAAGAAAGGTTGTAATAACCACTGACCTTATTTTTATTAATTATAACAGTTTGAATTTAACTGTTACACATAAAAACAGGTAACTTAATATGTACAATATAATTGCTACAAGCAAGAGGGATATTAGCAGTTTAATACAGGAATGCTGTGAGATAAAGGTAAAAAGTATATATTTCTCCAGGTCATATTGCTTCTCATGACTTTTTTTCAGAATGTCTGTTTTCTCGTCAAGATGTAAAAAATGGATTTTTTTTGCACATTTCAAGATAAAAACTGAGCTTTGTCAGAATGATAGCTCTAATTTTCAGTATAAGCCTGTGAAACTTTGTAAGCTTTCTTAAAAATTGGAGCATGTGCACGAATTAAAAGCTAAATGCAAAGCCCTCTAATTTCAAGTTTTTCAAATTTCATTAAATACATTCTGTGCAGACCTGCAAGATGCTAACACACGCCAAAACTAGCTCCATCTTATAAAAAAGCTGTGGGACTATATAGGCTGCTCTCTAGCTGGGAAGGCCATTACTATGGGTTTAATTTGATTTTTAACAGCTCTGACTAAATGTATAACTATTCTGCTTAACTGCTGGCTTTACCACTCACTGAAAGCAGAGTATCAGTATAAGCATCTGCAAACGCATTTACTTAGTCAGCACAGTTGACTTAAAACCTGTCAGTTTCACAAAAGCATGGGAATCTGTTAATTATCTAATTATGAGGGTGATCATAAAATCCTCCCAATTCTGCACTGAATAATTAGACAATTGCTTTTTTAGTATGTTATCTCCCTCCTCTCTTCCACCTCGCCAAAATAATAATGCATAGAGGGGATATTCTTAAAGCAGATGATTCCTCTAACCCGACACACTCGAAGTGAGGGTTAGAATTTTGGTAAGACTGACAATTTAAAAAGAGGTATCTGGTACAGAAAATCTCTGGCTTCAAAATCACTACTAAAATAGGAGACTCCCAAAGGGATAGTGTGCACTGGTGCTTCGTTCTACTGAACTCTTGAAAATAAGTCAGTAGGAACTGATGGAGAGGAAGGAAAGAATCTGGAGGTTAAAAGAAAACTCTTCAATTTAATGTAAAAATATATTGTATTCATTGGATTCAATTACAAGCAAGAGTATATCACTAATAAAAGTGTCTTAAATGTAATGGAAAAGAATAATTAAAAAATAAAATAGACAACCTTGATAGTCTAACATAGTTTAGGATACAAGAAGATGCAACTCCCCAGTGGGCAGCATTGGGAAAATAAAGTCTCACGTTTGTGCTCTCCTGTATTATCTGCTTGTGAACTGCATCCCAGTGTCTGTTTACTGGGGTGAGAAGTATAATGCAAAATGTCAGTACCCCTTGAGAGGGACTCCAATACCATTCAGGGTAAAAGGAATAATTAAACAATTACAGGCCTCTTCATTGCATTTGTTATAAAACATTTAAATATTTAGCTGAGGTAATGTAAGTAATCACTGTAATTTTCCTCTCCTATGACCAGAATAAGCATAAGGGAGGGAAAGAATAAAGTATCTGTATCATGGCTGCTTGGCAACAGTTGTAAATGGTGACGTTTTAGACTAATGTATATTTTTGCAACTATAGTACAATCATTCTTGGATTACTTTTTTGCTACAAAAGTGGGTCAGTATTCCATTTTGAAGTCAGTGAAGGGCATTATTTGAGCTGGTGTACCACATGACACTTGAATGACAGATGTTTAAGCTGAAATAAGAAAATACTCCTTTGAGAGGCGGAGGGTAATATCCTGTTGGAATATGCATGCTGCCTTCTTTACAGAAATACTTGTAAAAATTGCATCACTCCTCATTGTGACCATTGTCATTATAGCAGCACCTCTGCATTAAACTCACAGCTCCTTGTTATGGTGTTATAAAGGTGGAGAGTATTGCATCAATTCACCTTTCATTTGTGTGTTGATGTGGCATTTATATTAAGTAGGAGTAATTTTTTTTCTGATTTTTTTTTTCTTGTGTCACCAGTGCACCTATTCCATTCTTCCATCGCTGTGCTCCTGTGAACATTTCCTGCTATGCCAAGTTTGCAGAGGCCCTGATCACCTTTGTCAGTGACAGTAGTGTCTTACACAGGCTGATTAGTGGAGTTATGACCAGCAAAGAGATTATAATGGGACTTTGCTTGTTATCACTAGGTAATTGTTTTTCTCATTATTAGCTGTTTCATAGTACTGCGATAGGAGACTTTTAACATCCTCTAGCCACAACATGAACATAAAACATATACCATAATAAGCCCTCAGGAAACTGTTCAAATGCTTTTTATTCAGTAGCCAAATAAGTGTTTCGAAAGAAGTATACATGCACATTCAGTTTTTATTTAAGATGGGTGGGAGGGGTTGGACGTTCTTCAGTGCTCTTGCCACAGCTGTTTAAGTCAACCAGAGGCAGCTGTACTTTATAATGTTCATCTGGCCCTTCCACTCATCATTTTGCCCACTCCCTGCACCTCCTCCTAAAAATGAGAGCGATGCATGGCATTATACTCTCATAAACCTGGGGCTTAGGCTTCTTTTGGTGTGTATGGCTTAGCTATTTGGCTGGGATTTTCAAAGGAGCGAAAGGAAGTTAGGTGCAATTGGGTTTGGCTCCTTTGAAACTCCTAACCTTGGTTTTTATGAATGCAAATGTTGTTGCAAATGTGTTACTAAAAGCTGGGAAATTCCCAATTCTGGGCCTTAGGTTTCTTGTTGATCGCTGATCTCACACCAAAGTGAAATGATTGTTTTAAACAGACCCTATAAATGAAGGTAAAATCGTGTGCATCCAAATTTATTACATTTCTGATCAGCTGACTTCATTGGATTCTTAGTATGAGGCCCTTAACCTATAAAAAAAACCCAACCCCTGCTGTTACAGCCATCTGTCAAGAGTGTGTGGTTAAAGAAAAAGAAATGACTGACTGACTACAGGGTGCCACAAAGGCTATAGCAGCAAGACTCTGCTATAACCAATCTGTCTCTGTAGTAGAGAGAGCTAGATCTTGACTGGAAAAAAAATAAAACGCAAAATCACTTCTTGAAACCAGCTGCAAAGAAACCCACAGAACTTTTTCTTCCATTGCACTCCATGGTAATAATAATGGACCTGCAATAATTTGACCTAAAAGTAACAAGAAAATTAAGAATTTGCAAAGTTGTAGCTTTATTAGTAGGGCCCTAACAAATTCATGGTCTATTTTGGTCAATTTCACGGTCATAGGATTTTAAAAATAGTAAATTTCATGATTTCAGCTATTTAAATCTGGAATTTCACAGCATTGTAATTGTAGGGTCCTGACCCAAAAAGAAGTTGGGGGTGGGGGAGGGTCGCAAGGTTATTGTAAGGGGGAGGGGATGCAGTACTGCTCCCCCCACTTCTGCACTGCTGCTAGCGATGGTGCTGCCTTCAGAGCCGGGCAGCTGGAGAGCGGTGACTGCTGGTTAGGAGCCCATTTCTGCAGGCAGAGCAGCCACCAGCAGCAGCGCAGAAATAAGGATGGCATGGTATGGTATTGCCACCCTTACTTCTGCGCTGCTGCCTGCAGAGCTGGGCCCTCAGTCAGCAGCCTCCACTCTCCGGCCACCCAACTCTGAAGGCAGCATCGCAGAAGTACGGGTGGCAATACCGCGACCCCCGTAAAATAACCCTGCAACCCCCTTGCAACTCCCTTTTGGGTCAAGACCCCCAATTTGAGAAACCATGGTCTCCACCATGAAATCTGTATAGTATAGGATAAAAGCACACAAAAGACCAGATTTCATGGCGGGAGATCAGATTTCATGGTCCATGGTGCATTTTTCATGGCCGTGAATTTGATAGGGCTCTGTCTATTAGCAACACTATAGTTGGATGAGTGCCAGATTTTATTGTACATATTTATTGCAAAATTTTATATAAAATTAATGTAGTCCTTTAGGTTAAAGGGGGATAAAAAAATGTGATTGCTTTCAGATCACTTTTTATGCTCCTTTAATGAAAAAAAATCAGAATGTCAGATTGTTTAGTTCACAAAGAAGACCCCAATGCCTTTCACTTCAAAATGTAGCTAGTACACACACAATACATGTTAGTGAGTGACAATTTAAGGAGGATTTTTAGCATGCTGTACCTGTATGTTGGTGGGACTAATACAGTGCCCATGCTGGCTCCCTGTGAGGGAGTTAGCTTCCCAAATTATAGGTGCACTCTGGAAACAGATGCAGAAATATTTATGCACCAGTCCAAACGGATGAACTTTGAAGTGGCATGTTGCATATGGTGCCATAATCCCAAGTGCACAAAAACGGGGATTTAAGAGATGAGAAATGGGAAAATAATAAAGATTGGAGGAGGAAATGTGAAAATTGCAAGTAAAAAATTATTGCAGAATCAATAAAACTCATTAAAGTACCCAATGTGAATAATAAAGATAAAGCACAAAGCAGTAATTTTTTCCTTGTAACAAACATGACATCTTAAATTACATACATCACAATATCTGCACTTGTTTAGCATGTATGTTTGCATGCAAGTTCTCCTCTGCTGCTCAGAGTTGTGCAGTGTTTTCCCAACTCATGATATTAAACTCACACTTCTGTCATGTCCTCTTGTTTGTTCTGTCACTGTCTGAATACATCTGTGTGGCTATGTTTTATATATAGTGTACTATGTAAATGCACACATGCTCTTTTTATTTAGCAGAAGCAGGAATTGTAGAGGCTACCTGACTTTCCTTGTGTATTTGTGTAATAAGTTTGAAAGCCATAGGGGGGAAAAATTCCTTTTATAAAAGATTCTATTAATATGCAGTTATCTTTAGTGTAGTGAGTTCAATTGAACTTCCTCCCCCTTGCTCGTGAAAAGCAACACCTTTGTAGCGTGTTCCTGTCTGAAATAATTGCTCTGCTTATTATATTTCTCTCTTCTGCAGTGCTGTCCATGATTTTGATGGTGATAATCAGGTACATTTCAAGAGTACTGGTTTGGATCTTAACAATTCTTGTCGTTTTGGGATCACTTGGTAAGTCTTGTTCGTTTCCTTGTTTCTGAGAGCCAAGTTCTGATCTCTCCCCCCCCCCAATCGCAAGGTTCGTCAGCATCCTACTCAGAGCCACTTCTTCTTTCCTGCTTTATATTGACCTGTCTCCGGGTTCCATGGGGAAACTGCTATTTTTCTGGCTAAGGAGGACTGAATTAGATTGAGTCATTGCTGCTCCTTACCCAGCCAGACAATTGCTGCACCTCCTGCTAGGTGAATGAGTACGCACACCGCCATGACAACCTGGAGAATGACACCAGGAATCTATCTAGAATCCTTACACTGCAGTATAGAGCCCTGTGGGGCAGAGCAGCCCCATTAACATTTAGGCGAGATCCTTAGGGGTGCCTGAGCTCTGCTCAATACATTTAAGCAGAGGGGAACATGGGTGGTTTTCCATCACTTTTCCTCCTCATTGCATACCTCCTCCAATCCTGGGGACTACTGGGGGAGCAGGGGGCTAGTTAGGCCCCCAGAGCAAGTAGCAGTAGCCTGAAGCTGTGGGATGAATTAGACACACTGGCTTTAAAATTCCAGAGATTCCTCTACGTAATGTGAATTCCCAGCTGTCCCATTCAGGCTGCTTTCTGGCAGCTTTAATCTACTCCATTAACTTTAAATTTTGTGGAACTGAAGTTTTATATTGTTGATCTTTAATAATGCAGCCAAAATATTGGGTTATGTGGGGGAAGTTAAATTCGGTGATAGCCATGATTTAAGGTCCCATGACCTGCAAGAGTTAGAAAAATTTCAGTGGGCCAAGATCACTTAGCTTTTCTGAACTGCCCCACTGACATCTTATTACATGCTGAAAAACCGCACCAAGTGTGAAGACCTTAAAAGTTGTGTTTTGTGAGACACGCTGCTTTGTTTACATCAGTTCATGTTTTTGAAAGTCCCATATGGTCGGTGGCAAATCTGGAATGTCCTGAGTCCCACACCTATCTTTTGAAATGAGTAGAATCAATCAGCTAAGATTTTGGCACTTTAGATAGGCACACTGCAGCTGAGTCTCAAACCTTGAGGTAAGGAGAGGAGAATTGGAGAGAGAAATATCAAAAGAGAAAGGTTAATTCATTGGAGGTATGGAATCCCAGATCAAAGGGACGGTTCTGTCTTGGAAAAATGGCTAGAGCCAGAGAGTGAAATCCTGACCCTATTAAAATCAATGGGAGTTTTGCCTCTCCCCTTGACTTCAGTATGGCTGGGATTTCCCCCAGGGAGTTTAATGGGAGACACTTCCCTCTCTTCTCCTTAGCCTTTTATTTTTATTTTTCATTTTCCCATCTCAAGTGAGGTGAGCTGACTCTTCCCTATCACTCCTGCACTTCCAGTGCCTGCATCAGCTCTTCTTGAGGCAGGAACACCTATCTGTGATTTATTTGAGGTGCTGTTTCTGGTATCATGGATTTTCTCCCCTTTCCTCTCTCTCTCGCTGTCTCTTGGTTGTTTCCTTTCCTCTTTCCTGGTGGCACTTCTCTCTGAAGTGTTTACCCTTTCACTTCTTATTCACCTTTCTTTGCTCTTCTTGTTTCTCTACATCCTCTCTGGGGCTCCCTCACTCAGTTCTTCCATTTTAATTTCCCATACACCTCCCACCACATCATCATCTGTTCCCTACCCCCTTCCAGTCCTCTAATGCCTGTCATATGGGAGCAGTATCTGTCCTTACTATGCCTCCCCTGACTAGTGGCTTCACCCTGTTCTCTCTAAAACACATGAAATGAGGAGTACTGATCCAAGGGACTGCATGATTTTCAGATGCTCCTAGCAGGGTAGGAGCAGTGCAGGGAGAGCACCTGCTTGAGCCAGAGCACTCCCCCTTTAAAATCCTTCCTTTCAGAATAGCATCAGCCCACTTGGATATTTTCTATCAGTTTAGACTGTGCTGTGTTTGACCGATTCCATTCTTTGTGTCTGTTCTGTAGAGGGAAATATAGTATTTGTCCTGTCTTTAATTCAAAACATAGGAGGCACAGGAGTACTGTGGTGGCTGTATGCTAAGCAAACAAAGTTTGTCAATGAAACTCTTACTGCTGATCAGCTTCAAATAGCCAAAGACAATCTTCAGGCCCTCTTGGTCTATGCCATTTCAGCTACTGTCTTCACGGTAAGTGCTTTGTCACTGACAAAATTGTATTCCCTTTTTCTGTCATTCTTGCCATGTTCTTTGGCTTGTCAATGCAGGTTTTGTAATATGTGCATGAAAAATTGAAAGTGCTCCAGAAACAATCTCCCTCTCTGTTTGTTGCTGCACTTTCTACTATTAGGCACTGTTCTGGTAGACACACACACTCCCCTGACATCAGAAGAATAGATTGTAGGGCCTGAACCCACAGCTGGTCTGGGCCACGCTCAGAAATCACCTGGGACTTCCATGCACAGAGCAGCTTCAGGATTGGACCCTTAATCTGTATGTTCACTTGCACTTGGATCCTGTTTGTCAGATAAATCAAACATGCAATGCTGAGATGCTACCTCATAATTTCATTTTAGCTAATAATACTTGATACAGGCATGCACTGTAATTAAACCTTTTTATAAACTTATCTGACAAGTTCTCCAGGTTCTGTTTCAAAATATAGGGCAAATTCTGCCCTCAGCTACACCTGTGCAATCCCATTGCTTTTACTTGGTTGCACAATGCAGTTGAGTGATAGAATTTGGTCTGCAGTCGTGTCAGTCTGAGTGTCAGTTCAAAAAAGTATTTAAAAGGTAGCAGGAGTCACTAAAAGTGGTTTGCGTTGATAAATCAATCTCGAAATACTTGATGCAGGGTTGAGCCGTGTAAACGTGCAGGGCTCACACCAACTGTTGGAAGTGTGATTCGTTTGCTCTACTTGAAGATCCTGTGTTGTTTACTGCACCTGATGGTCTGCTTTTCATCACCTAAAATGTCCGTTGGAAACTTCTCTCCTCAGGTTATCTTGTTCTTGATAATGTTAATTATGCGCAAGCGAGTAGCTCTCACCATTGCCTTGTTCCACGTGGCTGGCAAAGTTTTCATTCACCTGCCGCTGCTAGTCTTCCAGCCCTTTTGGACTTTCTTTGCCCTCATCCTGTTTTGGAGCTACTGGATCATGGTCCTGCTTTTCCTTGGCACTACAGGTATGTGGGCACATGGCTTCTTTTAAGTAAACACTAGTACTTTCTTGTACAGACTTTAGATGTAATTAAAATTTGAAAATAAGAATTGCTGTGCTCTGATATATCCCTTTGACTTTGAATGAGCACAGAGAGTACTTTAATACTGTGTTCTTGTGCACATCTGTATTCATCATCAGGTGTGAAGTTACCCATTGTTTGGTGCCCTAGAAGTGGCTTTCTACCATTATTTTGCCCCTGTTTGATGTGAGGAAGAGCAGCCGCAGGGCTGCTGTAACATATGCAAGCACTATGTCTCCAAGAGACTGTCATGCTAGCTGGGACCTGTTTGAACACAGTGTGTTCTGGCTATGGCATATTCCATATACAGCGGGGGCCCTAGGAAAGGAAGGTGGAGAGTTTATGATACCAGCTTTATGCCACTCTCAGATTTCCCCATGCCAGAGGAATACTTAGCTATCCTGTTAGGCTAGCTTTCAGACTGGATAGTGTCTCATTTTTGGCTCTCATTGTTTTGCAGAGTTACAGAAATTAAATGCAAAAAAAGCATGTCAATACATCAGTAAAGACATACATTTTTTTAAAAGTCAGGAAATGTACAACTTCAAAGGAACCCATCAATCTGGTTTTATCTTCAAAAATTAAACTCAGCACATCTTTTGAAATAATGTCCTGCAATTTAAACCATTATTTAAAATATTCAGAAGTGTTATTTCTGTTCCTTTCTGTGTTGAGAGGGTATTTTGGCTGGATCTGAGAGAAACACCACCAGCCATGCTCAGGTCTGTCCCTGGTCCTTCTTCCCCTTCTCTGTGCACACAACCAGCCGCCTGCTGCTTGCAATCTATTCATTTTCAGCTCTGCTGCAGCTGTTACTAGTAAACAGTCCCCAGCAGGGCCTGGTGCAACATCAGCAACCTGATAAAGTGCTGTCAAATACACAAACGAAACAAACAGAATAATAGAGGAAAAGTATTCTGCCGTCTTTCTGTTATGGTGATCTTAGGGGTTACTTATAACAATCGCATGCAGATAAATGTAATTTTCAAGTTAATGGTATCCTCCTGCAGAAATATTAATATAGCCACTTGCCATAATATTCAACAGATATGTAATCTCTTTAACAAAAATAAAAGGACTAGAAAATACTAGAGACATGCAATGTGAATATGCTAATATTATTGTAGGGGCCATAACTCTGCATTTCTTGACTTTTTTAATATATCTCCTATGACAGTAACATTACATTAACAGTTTTTTGCATTTAATTTTCCTCCTTTTCAGTGTAGAGCAAAGGGTTAAAAAACCCAGTGACGCTCCTCTAAGGACTTAAGGCAGCACAAGCAATTTAGCCACTACTTAAATTGATAAATGCACATTTCTAAAAGGACGCGTGCATGCACAGAGTGTCGCTCAAAACGCAAATGCACAGTAGCCAATTTTCTGTTGTTTGTGACGGTCTTAGGGCTAGTGTAGACCAGACAGTTAGATCCACCCAGCTACCTTGCTTGGGGGGTGAAAAATCCACATGCCTGAGTGACATAATTAAGCCAACCTAAGTCCTTGTGTAGACAGCGCTTCCATCGACTTACCTACTGCCTCTCAGGGAGGTGAATTGACTACAGAAATCGCTGTAGGAAGTATCTACACTGAAGTGCTACAGCTGTGCCGCTGTAGCATTTTAAGTGTAGACATAGCCTTAGGAGGGGACATGCTCGGCAGTAATGAGGACTTTACACACCCAGTTTCAAGATAAAGGCCTAGAGGTTTACCTGAGCCCCATAGACATTGCTGGGGCTCAGCAGAGGTGCAAGGGTTTGCCTGAATAGAGGAGTTTGTAGGATTGGGGCCCAAAAGTTTCACTGATTTTAGTTAGTTCTGTACAAAACAGTGGCAATAACTTTTCAAAATGGGAAATGTATATTTCTCAGAAAGTTATAAGCATCTGGGGGAAGGGGGTTTAATGGAACTTGACATTTGAAATGTTATGTTCACTACTTCACAAATGCTCTAATACAATATAGTAATTTTAGCACTTTTTAGATCATATAACTATTTCAGCCTAACTATGGAAAAATATGGAAGGGGGGTTCCAAAGAGGATGGAGCTCGACTGTTCTCAGTGGTGGCAGATGACAGAACAAGGAGCAATGGTCTCAAGTTGCAGTGGGGGAGGTCTAGGTTGGATATTAGGAAACACTATTTCACTAGGAGGGTGGTGAAGCACTGGAATGGGTTCCCTAGGGAGGTGGTGGAATCTCCTTCCTTGGAGGTTTTTAAGGCCTGGCTTGACAAAGCCCTGGCTGGGATGATATAGTTGGGAATTGGTCCTGCTTTGAGCAGGGGGTTGGACTAGATGACCTCCTGAGGTCCCTTCCAACCCTGATATTCTATGATTCTATGATTTGGGATTTTGGGGCCCTGTTTTTACCAAGGGACAGAGCTAATGGAATTTGTTCTTGGTTTTGTGTGTTTTACTGCTATAAGTTTAATTTGAATTATGAGATGTGATGTTTGTTATCTGGGGAACAATGAGTCACAATATTTTTCTTGCGCCTGAAAATGGTTGAGGTCCCAATTCTGCATTTTGAGCTGTGCGGGTAGACCCCTGCACCCGCATGGACCCAATTGCATCAGCAGGGCCAAAGTTTGGGCTTTAATAATAAAAAGCTTTGCTCAGTTTTAATTGTTGGTAACCTCAGCCCTGGTCCTGCATGTGCCTAATTTTATTCACTGTGAGTTTACATACATATGAGTGTCAAAACATATGAAAGTTAAGGAAAATTGACGTCTTTGCAGAAACAAGGCCATACATACTATACATCAGTATTTCCCAAAGTACTAAAAGCCAAAATGTATAACATTTTTCTAAAAATGTGTCAGAAGAAACTTGTTTTTCCAAATAGTAATTCACTAGAACAAAATTATTTTGGTAGTGGTGTTTGACTTCCAAGATTCATACAAATCTGAAACCATTCACATAAGAGATCTAGTGCAAACCTAAGTGAAAACGCTAATGGCTTTCAATTTGGATCTGTTTTATGCACCTGTTATGTCTATTCTCTGTGTTTTCCTGAACCTCTTCTGCTGTTCACATCATTTTGATGGGTGAGATGGACCTCCACAGTGAGTGCTAATGCTTTTTGAAGTAGAGCATCCATTGCCTGAGGAAATCCTGACACAATGTCAGTGAACTTATGTGAAAGTGCTACTTGGATCAGACAAGTCTATTGGGTTTTAAAATATGTATAAAATTCTTTGGGAAAAATCTTCTCTTCTCAAACGCTGCTAATATTCTAGCAAATAGATTCTGTTATTCAAATATAGACAAAACACACACACAAACACTTGCACCATCAAGAAATAGAGGTCACCATTAATGTTGTTTGATCCTAACTAAAAAATACAAATTATGATCTTTAAATAAATTTCTGCAATTTTTGCAAACTATGGATATGAAGGGAGGGTGGCAGAAAATTCAGAATGACTTAGGTTTCCTTCCATTACATTTTGGAATAAGAAATCATTCTGCTTCATTTTTTTTTTTTTTTTCAAATTTCCCACATAGTAAAAAATTTTTTTTTTTTTTTAAGTTGGATGTTGCGTGTGCTCTGGAGAATTTTAAAATCCTTTCTCTGCATAATTTTTAACAGTAATTAATATTTTTGCAGGCTGACACAGCAATATTATCTCCATTATCAACTGTCCAGCTACACTGATGTTAACACTTTATTAGGAGACAGAGCTGTCACTCTTTAAATGATTGAGAGTTATTAGCTGAATTACAAACGATTCTTTCTTTCTAAGTTGATATTAGCTATCTGCCTTCTTTCTCTGATTTGTTCCTAGGTAGCCCTGTCCTAAACGAACAAGGGGTTGTGGAATTCCGGGTTTTGGGCCCTCTACGATACATGTGGTGGTACCATATGGTAGGGCTGATCTGGATCAGTGAATTTATTCTAGCATGTCAACAGATGACGGTAGCTGGGGCTGTTGTGACATACTATTTCACAAGGTGAGAACTTTTCAGACAGCTTTTTCTTAAGAGACCTAGTAACTGAATCATCAAAAATAACTGGGGCCAGAGCTTGTGGTGAAATGAGCAGCTGTGTTCTGCCTGGAAGCAGAAAAGCAAAAGCAAACTTCTAAAATAAATAGTGCGTTTAGCTGGTTATGTGCAATTTGAAGATGTTAAGCACCACAGTCTTGTTTGCCCCTAAGTCCCATATACACAATGAAGACCTAGATGATTCATTTTTTTAAAAAAAGTAAAAAGCACTTTGACATTTATCTCTTTTCAGTAATAAAGCTGATAAGCTCCATTTAACTTAAAAGATGATTGGCGCTAATTGACTGGGATTACTTAACTGAAAAATACAGTCCTTTAATTCTTTTCACACACTCGTTTGTCTGTTTCCTAAGATTACATAAAGTCCCATTAGAGCCATCATTTTCATATGAATTCAGATTATATACTAATGTTCAAGTGAAGCAAAATATATGTATTAAATCTCCATGTACCATCACTGTGCATGAGTCCTAATTTGCAAATCATGCTATACTCCTATCAGCTAATGCACATGTATCTCAAGTACAAGAGAGGGATGCATCCCATATCCTTAGGATAACTCCTAATTGGTAGTATTGCAGTGTTAAAAAATAATGAGAATTAAAAATAAATAAATCTGAGCTTTTTAAATTTTTTTTAAGTCTCTAGGTGCCCAGAGATCATGTTTTTAAGCTTTTTTTCTACCACAATAAGGACTAGAAACTTTTATTTTTTTTAAATGGAAGCTGAGGTTCTCAATCACAGAGCTAGGAGATAAGGCTTTAAGAAAAACTCTATCACGAGTCTTGAAATCGTTTTTTGAGAGTGAGCAACACTGAAGTGATATCGAGTGTTTTTGCTAACATACAACTCTTGGCAACATTTTTGATTAAGGAAAGAAATGATGCTATTGAACTTATTCGCCTCTTCTTTTTTTAAAAGTATATCTTTCTAAAGTGAAATTTCTCAAAATGTAACTCACTGATATTTTATAGTTCACTATATATTTGTTTAAAAAAAGAAATCTCGTGTGCTCAACAATCTGATAATTTAAGTTACACTTCCCATTCCAAATGGTCTCAAAGTAGTTTGCAAACAGTAGAAATACAGCACCTCTGGAAAAATGCAGCTACTTCTGAAGCAGAGGGCATCAGCCGTGATGTACAGCAAGAGTGGTTGGAGTAAGGGAGGAAAATGTCAACCCATGACAAAGCCCTTATGCCTTATTAAAATTGCCATAGGGTCATCAGTGTCCGAGCAGAGCAAGGCCTTGGTTTAAATGTTCTCTCATATGAAAGATACCTTACAGTAATTTATTTTCATTGATATCCCTGCTGTGCTGCTTTTACAAATTGTACATAACTAGGAAATACACCGTAGGTAGGAATAGTCTTGCCACAGCATGTTGCTGGGCTAGATGATTTAAGAGATCTTTTGCATCTCCAACATCTGTGAGTTTATTTACTGTATTTTACCAGAAGGTAAATGAGTTTGCTCTTACCTGCTCCCTATCCATCATCCCTTAATGGGAACCTTGAGTTATTAAATATCCATTTCCCTCTACCACACCTCTACCCCGATAGAAAGTGACCCGATAGAACACCAATTCGGATGTAACGCGGTCAAGCAGCGCTCCGGGGGGGTGGGGCTGCGCGCTCAGGCAGATCAAAGCAAGTTCGATATAACGCAGTTTCACCTATAACACGGTAAGAATTTTTGGCTCCCAAGGACAGCGTTATATCGGGGTAGAGGTGTACTTTGCTTTCTTGCATATTAAAGTGTGGTTCTAGTCTGAAAAGTGACTGTGAAAATGGTATACTGGGGTTCCACGTTGTTAATGATTTCTAGATCAATGTACATAATTTCCATATAGGAAGATTTTTGTTTAACTGCTAGCCCTGCACTCTCACCTAGGGCTCTGAAAGCCAAGATGGGCTCTTTGCATTTCATGCAATGCTACCAGTCATAAGTAGGCTCGGCAGAATTCGTTTTTTTTTTTTAATTATTTTGATGGATAATATCAATGTTCATTTCAAGCATTTATTCAATCTTTATTTAAATTTTGACAGTTGAGGGGAATGAAGGGGAAAGGTCAGAATTATTTAACGACAGTAGACAATGAAAATCAGAAAGTTAAAGTTTTTATAACTGTTAAAACACAAGTTGTCAACATCCTCTTGTCAAAATATACAAAGCAAACATCCTTAAATCAAACTCAAGCAGCATTTTTCTTACTCTGCTAGTATGTGTGTATGTGTGTGCTTGTGGTGAAATTGACATTTATCAATATCTACTGGTAAAAATGTAATGCTTCCAAGCCTAGCCATAAGGTTCTTCTGGCCAGATTAGGCCCTCAGTTACACTTGTATAAGCCAATTGCCGCCTTCCATTTGCACAGGTATAACTGGTTGGAACTAGGTAAACTGTTTTTTGCAAGAAGAAATAGAATCTAGCTCACTGAAAACTGACTTCAGAATGCTAATAGGAGCCAAAAGTTGTAAAAATATTTTTTCCTCACTGAAGTCAGCATGAATCAGTACATGGAGGGAGCAGGTCTGTGGAATTAGAAGGTGCCACTTTTTTATATTTTTCAAGTGAAACCACCCTTAAGAATAGGTTTCCCTAAATTCAGGGGAGGTATTTTATTACTGGAACACTGACAGTTCAATAACATTAATCCTATGATACTTTTATCACTGAGTTTATTTTTTTAATACTTATTGAGCGCTCTTTCATTAAATGCTGAATGAAGCTGCTGTAGAGAGGGAAATAGTGATGGTTTGCTTTAGAGAAATACGAATGATAAGAATACATTTCTTAAAAGCTGTATCAGAAGACTGTGCATTCAGCTCTTATAAATAAATCCCTATTTCCCCTTATAAATACATCCTTATAAATACTTTGTTACAGCACTGTATTTTGTTTTAATACTTAATACTTGATTCCCTGGCTGTGTGGATATGTATATTCAGAAATACAAATGGTCTGAAAACAGCTTTTGTGTAATGAATGTATATATGCTTTTTCCAATATATAAAATAGGGAAAATCCTAAAATAAATTTGGGGGAGAGGAGGGAAAGACTTAAAAATGTTTGAATTAGACATTCATAGAAGTGTAGAGCTTAAAAAATTGATTGGTTAGGTATAACTATAGTGCAGGCAAGTGTCCCCTCACAGACTCATCCTTTTCCTGCTATTACATTAGAGCTAATACTGTTACGGACCCTGCTTCTCAATGACTCAGCAATGTCCACTGAAGACTAGAATGAGACCACCAAATTGCTTTTCACCTGTGAACTCAGTCAGAATTTGTCTGTAGCTGGTTTTTCTCACCTAAAGTCCATATTGATGATACTGCTTTATTTTATTTCTCTGATGATTTTCCACAGGGAGAAAAGGAATCTGCCATTTACTCCTATTCTGGCATCAGTAAATCGTCTTGTCTGTTACCACCTAGGAACAGTGGCAAAAGGTTCTTTCATTATCACATTAGTGAAGATTCCACGAATGATCCTTATGTATATTCATTCCCAACTCAAAGGAAAAGTAAGGGAAACCTACTTCTTATTAAAATACTGGGTTCCAAATGCTTGAAATTTGATCCTAAATTTTGACCAAAAAAGTAAGTGTGTGTGTGTGTGTGTGCACGCGCGAAACTTAAGGGCTGATTTCAGAATATTCAGCTCTTAAAGTATAGCCCATGCATTTGAATGTAATGGTCGTTCATGTTCTTTGTCCTTTGGGGTTTTTTTTAATGTACTTGGTTTTTTTCCCCCCCTGTTGCCATGCTAGGAAAATGCCTGTGCTCGATGTATGCTGAAAGCTTGCATCTGCTGCCTTTGGTGTCTAGAAAAGTGCCTGACTTACTTAAATCAGGTAAGATTTTATATATTTTGACTTTTTATATAAAGGAAGGCTAGTGATTGAGGAAGGCTAGTCTGAAACCAGAAGATGGGGTAATTTTTTCCTTAAGTTGACACATGTTAAATTGTACTTTGGAACTTGATTGAACCTATGTACTTCAGTCATGTCCCCATTACTGAAATTAAAGTACATTGTGATCTCACTGAGGCTCATTACATTAGTCCTCATTTACAGCGCCAGTGTGAAAAATTGTCCCAATTCCTCTTTCTGGAAAAGACATTTTGTCCTTTAAAAATGACTAATTGTGTCTAAGCAATATAGCATTAGATTTTAATGGTTGAATACAACCCTCCCAGCACCCACTTTCCTCAGGTACATTTAAGATTGAAAGTGTATATATGGTAACAGAGTGTGGAGCTTTTCTCCTTTTTAATATTTAAGCATCACATATTTGAGAAAATGTATTTAGAATCATAGACTTTAAGGTCAGAAGGGACCATTATGATCATCTAGTCTGACCTCCTGCACAACGCAGGCCACAGAATCTCACCCACCCACTCCTGTATCAAACCCCTAACCTGTGTCTGAGCTATTGAAGTCCTCAAATCATAGTTTAAAGACTTCAAGGTACAGAGAATCCTCCAGCAAGTGACCCGTGCCCCGGAGGATTCTCTGTACCTTGAAGTCTTTATTTCATTTAAGTCACTCTTTTCTTTTAAGGCTATGTCTACACAGCAGATGGGAGGTGCGTTCCCATCTCAGGTAGATATATACACACTAGTTCTGCTTGACTAGTGTGCTAAAAATAGCAGGGTAGTTACGGCAGGTTGGGCTAGTGCCAGAGTCTAACCATGTCTGAGACCCTAAGTACGTCCGCGGGTGGCTGCCCAAGGTGCCACCTCAGCTGCCGCGCTGCTATTGTTAGCGTGCTAGCTTGAGCAGAGCTGCCACGGGTCCGTGGACCTGAGCGGAGAAATGTACCTCCCAGCTTCGGTGTGACATTCTCTAAAGAAGGGAAAGGACTGTGAATTGTGATGGGTGGTTTAGTCGTATCTGTTTCCTTGTGGGAGAGCTGTGCTGTAATCTGTTAATATAGATTTCTCTTTTACTATTGTTCAGTTTGTTTCTCATATTTGAGACAAACATTTTGTATAATGGAGCTCCTCCATCTCTGATTTCATAAACCTACACAATTGAGCTCGCTCACAAAGGTATCTGGGTTCACACGCTCCCAGTGAGTCAGATTAAAGCCATACAGAACTTGTACTCCTTGTAGAACCACAAGATATGTTTTTGGAAGCTGCCTTATTCGAAGCTTGGTTTTCAGAGTGGTGATGAAACTAACAGACAAAACCTTACAGCATCCCATAAAGTTCTAGCCTGGGCATAGTCCTGGCCTGCCCTCAGCTGGCCTTGTTTTTGAATTGTCTTGATGAAGATCATTAGTAAAGTGTGTAATTATTGGAAATTGTCTTTGTTACCCTTGACTTACGTATTCAGTGATGCTGGACAGAACTAGAAATGCTTTCTTTTTCAACATCTAGAAAGCAACTTCTCTGAAACACATGACCCTCAAACTATTGTATGTCCTGAGAGAGAGAGATTTTTGTCCAGCTGCTTATCATGGTAGTAATGTCGTTGCTCACCTCCTATTCCTGCAGAGAGATTCTAAATTCTTTTTCCATTAGCATTTTGGTGTGAAACTGATATATATGTGGCAAGAATAAGCAAGGCAGGTGGAAAAATGGTTATTCCCTCCGATATTGTTCTCTGTCTATTGATTCAACCACTCCGCTGGGGGGACTTGGTTTAGCAGCTTCAAGGTGAGCAGTGACTGTCTCAAGATCCAGCACAAACCCTTGCCTTTTTGGTGTATGAAATCAGCAGTGAGCACGGACGGGATTTTTCATTACACAGTTCCTTTCCTCCCTAATTCTGGGATGGGGCTGATTGTCTTGAAAGTGAGTGTCATGTTACTGAGTCCTCATTATTTCTTGATTAGATTTGTACCTTTAAAGATCTCTTATTAAATCAAGTGTCTCATGACATTGTGCTTTCTGTTGTGAAAGGGGATGGGAGGAGAAAGTCTTGTTGCCATAACAGATGATTTCTTGGTAGGTAGGTAGATATTGGGAACATGAGCTGTGGGGAATGTTGAAGGAAAGGGGACAGAGTGTCTGTGACTAATTCTTCATTTTGCTTTCCTCCAGAATGCATATACAGCCACAGCTATCAACAGCACCAACTTCTGCACCTCAGCAAAGGATGCCTTCGTCATTCTAGTGGAGAATGCTCTGCGAGTGGCTGCCATAAACACAGTGGGAGACTTCATGCTATTCCTGGGAAAGGTATGCCGAAGGGGTGTACTGTTACAGACCTGGAACAAGTCTGCTTGCTCTCAGAAACCTTCCCTGTGCTTGCACTCCAGCTACAATGTGCCTCTGAGCGCTTGTTTTCCCACTGCCTACTGCTGTGACCCATCCCATCCTGCTGCTTCTGCTCAGGAACATGGTTTAGAAGGAATTGAGCAGGAAAGGGGACTGTAAAAGAACCTCTGGATGGTGGTGAGTGAGACAGGTCAGAAAGTGCACGTTGCCGGGGTTCAGCTGAAAATTCCAATTTCTTGTCATCAAAAATATTCTGGCTTTTGGTTCCTTTGGCAACTGAAAGCTGAAAAAAGTCTGGCCAGGAGTTTTTGGTTTTCCAATGAAAAACCTAAAATGTAAGGAAAGCAGACATTTCCCCTAACAACTTCTATAATCAAACCCTCAATTTTCCTTCAGAAAGAAGTTCATATATTTTCCACCAGCCCTCGTAGTAGGGGTGGAATGGGAGGCAGCAGGACCTTGTATTGGCAGCTGGGAGTTGCCCAAGTGGGAGTAAAGAGGAAAAAGTTGGGACCAAGTATATTCCAGGGTAGAAAGATTACTAAGCACTGTTGTTGCAGCTCAGTTTTCTATTTCTTTAGGAAAAACCAGAACCCAGTAAGTTACTGTTAGACCTGGGCTGACTTTTTGTGTTCTTATTTACTAACCTGCTAAATGCTAGTCCCACTGCATCAGCTGTAGCCCCACAAGTACCCGTCAGCATTGGGGCCCTTCATGGAATGAACTGTCTATCCTCTGTACACGTCTCTCCGTGTAATAAATCAGATTACAGTGGGCTGAACTCTGTGTGGTTTTCTAATCCAGTAAATAAACTAATCAATACAGAGTGATGGGAATGAGCACATAATGAAGATACAGGTGCCTTGGGGGTATTGAAGTGAACACTGCAGTTCTCTGGAGTAGTCTAACATTCCAGGAAATGTCTCCATGAAAAAATGGCTTTCACATCATTGGATGAACTGAAGGGTGGCAGTAATGCTTAAATAAGTGGTGCAAACTACCAAACAACAGTGTTAGCACTATGCTGCTGCCTGGCCAACCCAGCTCTTCTTTCAGCCTAATTCAATATCTGAATAATACAGTGGAAACTGACCTATTTTGCAGTGTTTGATTTTTAAATGCAGAGACATGGTGTATTGTTCATAAAAACTACATTGACACCTAGTATGACATTTCTTAGGGCCACTCATGCTAATTTTTGGGAAACTACCTGAAAGATATGTAGAAATGCCTTGCGCTGTTAAAATCAGAGTTAGAAATAATGCTTAGTTTACAGTGGGGACCTAGTACACAAGGTAATTCTTAGCAGCCTTCCTGTTGCAAATAGGAGGGACTGGAACAAGCTGAAGGGATATTTTGTCTAAGTGTGTGTCTGCAAGCAAAATTATTATAAAGCATATTAATTGGTGGATCTGGTTATATTAATTTTTATATTGTGTACAAAGTACAGACCTAGAACTGATTCCTGACCCGAGGAGTTTATAATTTGAATAAACCGACAACACAACAGAGTAAGGTTCTGTCTTACTATAGTATCTTTTTTTTTTTTTTCCCCTGGAACAATGGGTGAGTGGCAGGTTTGTATTTATTTATGTGAATTAGCTTTGGGGCTTTGAAGAGATGGTATTCTTCTCTGTGCAGGCACAGCATTGAAAACAGCTCTGGCTGGATCCAGCAGCATGTGGGGTTTTAGTAGCATTTAGTGTCTTGTGGTGGAATCAGTGACATTGTAGCATCCAGTTCTCCTATACCTGTGAGACTAAAGTGTGTGCTCACGTACATGAAAAATAATCCAACGGCTTCTGCAATCATTCTTGTCTTTCTGTTTTCTTTGCTTCAGGTACTGATTGTTTGCAGCACGGGCTTGGCGGGGGTTATGTTGCTGAACTACCAGAGGGATTACACCGTGTGGGTGTTGCCTCTCATCATCGTCTGCCTCTTTGCTTTCCTGGTTGCTCACTGCTTCCTGTCAATTTATGAAATGGTCGTGGATGTCCTCTTCTTATGTTTTGCCATTGATACAAAATACAACGATGGAAGCCCTGGTAGAGAATTCTACATGGATAAAATTCTCATGGTAAGTTAGTTTTCCTCCCCTCTCCCTTGAGTCAAAGGAACTCTACTATTGATAGAGAATTTAGTGCAAGCTTCTGATGCCATTCAGCACAAAAATCCCAGGGTCAGCCTCTTTTAAAGACCTTTCTCTTGGGTCCAGAAGAAAGTATGACTAACGTCAGTAGTGCCCAGGTTGGGGTTTCTTACCCAGACCGGCAGACCAGCCTTTGCTCAGACAGTGTCTCTCCTAGTCCTCAAATAGCAGCACTTACAGTCCTCCCTGAGTACGGATCTGAGCCCGAGTTGCTATTAGCATCTCATTTGACAGGGACAAAGTAGGCCATGTTACAGTTACACTATGTCTACACTGGAGACCTACAGCACCACAGCTGTACCCATGCAGCTGCGCCACTGTCAGAATGGCTACACCACAGATCTATGCCAACAGGAGAGAGCTTTCCCATCGACAGAATTAAACCACCCCCAATGAGTGGTGATAGCTATGTCGGCGGGAGAAGCTGTGCACACGACCACTTAGGCCGGTGAAACATATGTCGCTGAGGTGTGTGGGTTTTTTCACACCCCAGAGTGACATACGTTTTGCTGACATAAGTGGTAGTGTAGACATGGTCTTAGTTTCTTAATTTAGATGTTCCCCCTCATCCCCCCATGTACATCTGATGTACTAGAAACGGGGAAGTAAAAATCCTCTTAAAGCCAACATTAGACTGAATTCAGTGCTAAGAGAGAATTTCCTTGCTCCTGTTTCTCTACCTGCTCTACATAGCAGCCATGAAGTCCATTCCTCACTTCACATGAAATGTATTCTCATGCATAAACCAGAGACAGACTCAAATCCAATTATTCTTAACATTCTGATTTCTGAATACTTGTTGGGAATTGTGTCAGGATTTTAACCCTAAACCTCTGTTGTGTAGTGCTTTAGGTTGTATAGTACGTAATACTAGCTGATCCCATTGATATCAAATGTAGAATAATAATTGAAAATACCTTACACTCACGAAGCACAGGTAATTTAGTAAGATCACGATATATAATCTAGCACAAGAAATTTAGAAAGATCACACTGTGTGCGCGTGCGTGTGTGCAGAGAATCAATGTTCAGATTGGCCACAGAATTGTAAACAACAAAGGGATGCGGTAGATATCAAAGTACTAGTGGCATGGAATTTCCTACGTGATGCCTTCACCTTTACAATAGAAAGATGTATTGAAATACTACAGAACTATAGCATATCTGCTGATATCTTTAATAGCAGGGTCTAATGCCTGGCTGCTTCCATTTGATGTTATAACAAATGGGAAAGGCCGTGTCCATGGCGGGGGGGAAAATCTCACAAGATGAGACCCTGGATGTGGAAAAGTTTTGAGAAGTTGTGTTCTGAGGGATTAGGGAAAACTAGAAGGCATTGCTAGAAGTAAAAACAAAATCCCCGTATATTTTTTTTCTATTACAACGGCTTGATAGAGCTGTAATACTACATACTGTTTTCACTGGACAGACTGTAGTGGCTGGGGTCTGTATTTATTTTGTGCCAGTCATCAGAATGTGGATGCCAGGGATGGGTGGGGGGATGCTTAATACTGTCTGTAAGGATCTTTTGAGTGCCAAAGGGGTAAGAGACGGAGGGAGGCAGTATCTCTTGTTTTTGTGTTCACTTCTTGGGGCAGAACACATTACTTTTTGTGACATTGTCAGGGAATTTTATATGTGAGCCATAGGCTTGCACATTCCCTGGATACTTCAGTATACAACCAGTGGAAGAAAGATTAAGCCACTTGACTTATTTTGCAGGAATTTGTGGAGAACAGTAGAAAATCAATGAAAGAAGCTGGCAGGGGAGGTGGAGCTGAAGGCAGAGAGCTAAAACCAATGGTAGGTGCAGATGAGGAGGTGGCCATCCTCCAAGAATTTCACTTTTACTTCCTCTCCCTCTCTGTCTTTACTGACTGCACTTCTTCAGGGGAAGTTTTTGTTCTTTGTATCACTCAAGATGTTCTGCTTTTTCTGTTTGTGAGCTTGCCTATCACCTGGATGGCAGAGTTTTTGTCACAGCTGAGACCATCTCCTGTAAAAGTAAGCTGAAAGGAACTGTATCTTGTGACATAGAAATACAGTGGAAGAGTCAGTTGAATTAGGATCAGGATTGCAGCAGTGCCCACAACATGCTAGGTGGTACACACAGAAGATCTGTGGGGCAGGGAGTGTAATTAATTACTAGCATAGCCCAACTTACTCCTCTTTCCATTGGTGAACTAAATTCTTAATTTTGCATTCAGCATAAAAGCCTGAAGGACACTTATGAGCTGTATCCTAAAACAATGGGGCCATGCACTTCAGGGTCATACCAAATTATGTTAAACTGTGGCGAGGGATTGGATACAGTGATTCCTTTCAACCTGCTTAAAATAACATTTCTCCCAGTTGTTTGTTTTTTATTGCTAACTATTTATGTTGCTGTCTCTTGCGCTCTCTATTTCCATCTCACATTGTCAGATACAGGGACAATGCATCACTTATGCTTCTGAAGTCTTAACCACCACCTGTTTTCACTTACGCTATGCCTGTTTGAAAGGCATTGCATGTTTAAGTATCCTGTAATAAGGAACATCTGTAACTAATACAGATAATGGAGTTATCCATCTTGCAAGGTGAGCTTGGGACTCGGAGAACTGGGAGCCAGGCTTTCTGTGTATAAAAGATGGGCAGGTATGACTGAACTAGGTAGAGATGAGTCTGTTAATACTGACACTAGAACGGTGCCATAGGGTATAGTGGGGTTTATGTGGATTCCTCCAACAGTAGGTAGTAACTCTTTTAAATCATAAAAAGTAATGAAATCCAAATACATTTCCTTATAGTAGAAAATTCCTTTTTAATATGGCATATATAAAGCCATGCTGTGCCAGCACTTTGATCTAGAAAGATTGAATTCCTGCTCTCTGATTAACCCTAGAGCTGTGAGGAGTGTTATGCTAAGTTATTTATACAATCAGTTCTAGCATATCAACCTAGATTATAAATGGTCTTTCATTATTATTGGGAGGAATAGCTCAGTGGTTTGAGCATTGGCCTGCTAAACCCAGGGTTGTGAGTTCAGTCCTTGCGGGGGCCATTTAGGGATCTGGGGCACACAAAAAAACCAAACTGTCAGGGAAAGTATTTGGTCCTGTTAGTGAAGGCAGGGGACTGGACTTGATGACCTTTTCAAGGTCCCTTCCAGTTCTATGAGATAGGTATATCTCCATATATATTATATTATTATTATTATTTTATTATGGGTGCCAAGATCTCGTTACTGTTGTCGTCTCTAGAATTGTGCAGAGTAATTCCCATGCACAACTTCCACAGCGTATAGACACTTAGTCCAGTGACAGTGGTTTGGCTCACTTATTGTGACCTGTGTGGTTTCGTTCAAACCTCCCCTTGCACAGTCTTCTGGAAGGCCAACATTTTAGCCATGACTGGCCTTTCTCCACCTTAAAGTATTTGTTAAAGCATAAGTGCTGTTGTATATCTAAATATAGGACAAGAACGTTTTCATATGAATGATCTACCATTTTCTTCAAGGAGTAATTCCAACTAAGTGAACATTAGAAGCTACTGCTGGGATTTTCAAATCTATCTAAGGGTATTCACAGTTCCCATTAAAATTAGTGGGAATTAGCTGTCCAAATCCTCTAAGCAGCCTTGAAAGTCCTAACCTAAAGCTTTTTACTCAACTCCCAATTCAGAGTACTGCTTTACATCAAGTAGTGTCCTAATAACATCCACCTTATAGCTAGTGCACACTGCGAAAGGTGCTAAAAGCTGTTGGTCCAGCACTTTCGGGCTTAAGCTTGGTTCCTCGGCCATATTTGGGTACCTGTGAAGACAGGCTGAGCATCCACACTGCCACAGCCTTCAGAGGGAGCTATGCATGCTCAGCACCCTTGGAAGTCAGGCCTCTTGTTTAGGAACCTAACTTTAGGCCACTCAGGTTTTGAAATGTATCTTTTAGTCCCTTACAGAGGATTGCTAGAGAGATGGTGTGAGCATGGGACAGGAAGGCAGGAACTCCTACATTGTATTTCCAGTTCTGATACTAACTTGGTTGCCTTCCACAAATCATCGGGCCATATTTTCTGAAGTGGCTTCCAATTTTTGGGTGCCTAATTTCAGCTGCATGGAGTCCAGAAAAGCAGGAATTGAACACTACTATGAATAACAAGAACATCCAGAGCTCTAACAGTTAGTGCTGACCTTTTGGAAAGGATCTAAAACCTCATGCTTCAGGGTTGAAGCTTATCTCTAACTATTAGAGAGTAGGATAAAACCTTCATGTGGGGGGCGGGCAGATCATCCCACATCTGCCTACTGTGAAGTTTGTTGCACCTTTCTCTGAAGCCCATTATCAGAGACGGTACTGGACAAGATGGACCATAGTTCTGATCTGATCCAGCATTTCCTCTCTTCCTAAAGTTGAGTACCCAAAAATTAAAGGCCACTTTGGGGAGTTTGGGCCTTCACTGCTTTGCCTCAGTTCCCTCATTTATAAAGTAGAGGGAATCTCTCTCAAAAGTGTGGAGGATTAGTTCAGAAATTTAAATGGCTACCTAGAATTACACTTCTTAAAAATCTGAGTGGAAACATTTAGGAGCTGTCATTTCTAAAGAGACTGTCTAGGTTCAAGAACAAGGCTTTTCAAACTTTACTATCTGTAGTGATCCTTTTGGATCAATTTCTTCAATTGTCCATTGACATGTGTCTAAGACTGTACTGTATGACTTTGTTTTCTAGGCCTCTGGAGCAAGTTCATCTTGAAACTAGCCAGCCATTATGGAACCCATTGACATTCCAAAACACTATATATAAATAAGCAGCCAAAATCAGAAAAGGAACAGGGATTTAATACTTTTTTTAATGATTATTTTTGTGAAACATGTACTCTTTTCATACGGGTGGCTTTTACAAGCAACTTTATCATTGTTCCTTTTTTTAATCATTGTGGTCATGGAAATGTTAAGATTCTTATCTGATTAAGATACAATCTAGAGGAGGAATCAGTTATTTAAAAAAAAATTAAATCAAGACTATTGGTTAGATTTATCAGGTGTCCCTCAAAATTGAAATGTAACCAAGAATTACCTTTAAATCAGCTCATTTAGGATTTTATATTTAAACTCAGATGCATCAGTGACTTCTGGGGAAATGTTTCAGATTTAAAAAACAATTAAAATTTTAGGGGCTTTTAAAAGGGTTTCAATGAGAGTCATAATTATAACTCATTTGTAGTCAGCCATTTTACCCACCAACCCTATTGGGGCCTAGTGGGGTTACACATTGTTTTGTTTATAAATTTCAGATATCAAAATAACCAACTCCTCAGGTATTTAGATGTTGTGGGAGCCCCTGCATTTCTATGGAAGAGAAACTAGAAAATGGGAAAGGAATGAGTTTTATATGCAACTGTTTTCCGTTTTACTTTATTTTTCCCTTTGAGTTCAGTAGCCTCCTTTGCACTTCATAAGGCTCCTTTGAAGGGTATGGATTCTCCAAACGAGCAGTTGAACAAACTGATCATTAAAACTCAGCCTTAGCCATACTCCTCATGATTCATTCATGACTAGATATAAGGATGCTGGACATGGGGAGAGAAACAAACTGTACAAAGAGTATTGTAAGTTGTTTTTATTTAACTCCAGAGAGATTTGGGAAGTGTAAATGTAAATGGCCAGGCCTTGGCTGTTTTCTCATTCATATTAGTATCTACTGTAACCGGCTGGTAAAACAGGAGAGGGTAGATAAACATTTCTTTGGAAATGACACTGCCATGGTATCTAAAGTTATCCACTAACCATAAGAGAAATTGTTCATTTTAATTCTTGAGTGTTTAAAACTTTTCATTCCTGAAGCTTACCAGATATGAATGCTAATACTCCATTGTTCAGCTTATTGTAATGGTAAATGCTTAGTGTATTTGCTAAAAACTCATGATCTGTTCATGCTATATACTCCTTTTTGTTACAATTTTTTAAGAAAACTATTTTTGTTAATGTAAAGTAAATATTTCAGAGCAGAATTTTTAAACTTATTGCACTAAAGACAAGCTCTGTAAGAATAAATAATGCCTCAATGGTTTGTTCACTCCATACAAGAAAATCTTTTGAAAGAGAGCAGCCCTTCCAGCTAAGCTTTGCAAATGGATTAAAGAGGGATGTGTGGAGAAGCATACGATTAATGCCACCAGGGTTTTATCAGCAACTGTTTGCTTATGTGCTTCCTTTCAAAGGATCAGACCTTTAAACTGCTGCCGAAAGTAAAAGGCATCCTGTAGTTTTTTAATTAATGAGTGCTCTTAACAGTTCCAGTGGTAGCTAACTACTTCTGTTTTGTTTCTGTAAGTCATTTGATACTTCAGTTTTTTCAGACTTCTTGCAATAAAAATCAGGATGAATAAAAGGATTTACCCTTATCATAACACAGACCAAACAGTATGAATATAAATAAACTGTAGCTGTTTGAGGGCAAAAAACTGGCTTAGGCTCTGATCCTGCAAACACTTATGCAACTGTGTAGCGTTATTCAAGGAAGTAGTTCCATTGACCTCAACAGGACTGCTCATGTAAGTCAAGTTATACGCCTGTGTAAGCATTAACTGGATCAGGGCTTTAGTCTGGGATTTTAAATGGAGCAGTGGTTAGGTCTCTCAATGTAAATTACATGCATCTGTCAGGACGTCTCGGAGACGTTAGGGCAGCCTTCACTTGTGCACGGAAGGAGTCTGCTGCATCAACGGCCAGAAAGGCACTGGCTCAGCTGCAGCTCTGGAGTTTGGAGACTCAGAATACTTGCCAAGATCAGTGGGGTTTGGCAGCGAGTTCAATACTGGCTCAGCAGGATCCTAGAAGCTGGATTCCAAAGCTAAGAAAAGGATTGTCATGTACCTAGCTACTCCACAGAAACTGCAGCTTACACCCTGTTTCTGAAAACATCATTTGACGTGCTCTGACGGAAGCCTTGGATTCTGCTCACTTTGATGACCTAACATCATATTCCTGCCATGACAAGTTCCACAACTTTGGGTTCTCTGCTCCCTGGAAGCTGTAGGGGAAGGGGGTGCTTTTCAGTTAACTTACAACTGGAACTGTAATCAGAAACAAAGTTTGTATTTTTGTATAACTTGCCTGTGCACCATTTTTATAACAGGGCCTGTTTTACAAATAAATTGGTTTTATTATCACAGTGTGTAGAAGTAGTTATGGACAATACTTTTGTATGGGTAGCTGTAATTTTCAAGTTATCTATCATGATAAAGTTCTTAATCAATTCAAGTGTACCATTCCTTAGCGTATGTACAGCATGCATAGCTTTTCAGTTACAAAGTAGGGTCATGCCTTACTGAACTATCACAAATACCCTGGCTGTTCAAAAGCATTCCTTTCCCATGCAGGCTTTCTAGTGGCACTTCAGTGTTTTGGATGCTCTTTGAAACTTACTTTTGCAGCAGACTACAAGCTGCCCTCTTCCTCCCTAGTCCCTCCTTTGTGTGTGGAGAGAGAGGTGGAAAACAAGTCTCTAGAGAAAGTTGCTTGCAGAGCAAGTTTTAGAAGCTCGTTGCCTGTCCTGATAATGAGGGTAGTGGGAATGTGATTTCTCCTGCAGTAATATCTACACCTGGCAGCTGAGATGCTGGGCACTGCCAGTGATAAAGGATTTAGACACTTCTTCCTATCTGGTTATCAAAGCTAGTGTCAGTGCTACCATTCCCTCCTGTCCTGGGCGACGCTTACTGGCGAGGGGGTGGCTGAGAAGGATAAAGCTGAGGAAGCCATCTCCCCTGACGCTTAAAACCTCTGCCTAAGCAAGAAAGATTAGAGATTCAGCCAGATCAGCTTGGATTTAAAATCCTAGCCTGGGTGAATGACCGCACATTTGGATTGTAGCACGTTATGCAACATATTCCTAGCTTTGGTCACAGAAGACCTGTTCACTACACTTCAGGTGGAGGCCGAGCAGCGTCCGGCCCTTCTTGCCTCTCCCTGTTCTTTAAGGACAATGTGCTGGCCACAGGGAGAACAC